AGCAAAGAAAACCATAACAAAGTAAATGTATTGTTGTAACCTTTGACGCTCGTTATTACCCTAACAACACCGATGCTAAAACTTCAAAGATCACTGTATTTCCAACACCAGTGTTGTAGCTTCCAACGATCGACAAGTTATCGTTATTCCGTAGGTTCAAGATTTCCAATAGATGAACACAACTGCTTCGAACGCAAACTTTGTTGAACGTTTATTTGAATACCAAAAATAATAGAAACACAAAACTGTAAACAAATATATATACATATATATATATATACAAATCACAATTATAACTTCGCATCAAACCTCTGCTAGATACCTCTCTCTTTGCGGACCTTATATACCTTTACGGTAGATTTTTACAATCAAAAGATTACAATTATAGATAGATAATAGAGATAACGAATAATCAGAATAACAAATAATATAGCGCATTTTGACCATTCCAGCAATTATAACATTACTCCCACCTTTGCCTGTTAGTACCTGACATAGGCGTTACTTCTTTAATCTGATGAATAAGGGGCTAACCTGTCCAAATGAATAAACTTCATCTGTGCTCGTTTATCTTGTTAATGACTTTGTTCCAATATTTCCAATTCCGAGAAAGTTTTGCCGGGTATCTCCTTTTTCTGCGCCGTAGGTTGTACAACCAGACTAGGTCCTTGCTCTTGAAACTTGCGTTATTTATTTTTAGATCATGCCAAGTTTTCGTTGTTTCGGTTCCTTGAGCCATAGATATCCGTTGTAATCTTGATATTGATATTGTTGGCACTTAAAGCAAGTGCCTTCTTTATATTGAGTTTGCTAAGTGTAGAATGACCTAACGGATAGCTTTGATGCATATTGTAATACTTGTTGTTCACATCCAATTCCTGTCGATCGGTGATGCAGCAATAAAAAACTCATCCTCATCAGCAATAAGTCGTTGATATCATCATCTAGGTAGACCAAGCTTACATTCTACGTTCCTGCTGGATGGGTTTTCTCAAAACATGAAACATCATCTGTCACCACTTCGTGTTCATTGTTACTGTTAGAAAGAAAAGCGAGCAAGTTGCTGGCAGCAAGATCCGAATAGTAACTTCACTGCTTTTAAAATGTTCTCATGTTTTTGTCACTGCTAACTTCTAGGATATTTCCAAGACCTTCATAATCGTCCTTGTCATCTTCTTCAAAATAAAAAGCATTAGGCAAGTTGAGTTGCTGGCAGTGATCTGAGTAATAGTCCCACTGCATATCAAAAGTTTCAGTCTTTAACACTGCCAACTTCTGGACTATTCCCGAAACATTCAGCGACGTCTTCGTCATCATCTTCGTCATCATCTTCATCATTACGATAGTAATGAAAAGCATTAAAAATGAAATCAGTAAGGAAATGCAGCGTTGGAAACCGTTCATTCTTTAGAATAATCCCGATTCGTACTGTTTAAAATAATCTCGATTGAACCATTTGAAAATAAAATTTTATTTCATAATGATTGCCCTAACATCGCATTCGGGTAATTTTTTATATCTGATCGTGATAATGACTTTGACTACATTAATTAAAAAGGTGATCGATTAGTTTTTTATGAAAGAAATAACAGAATGAAATAAACTCAAAATATTATATAATATATATATATATATATATATATATATATATATATATATAACCGATGACAATTAGATAATTTGTTGACGGAAAAATATTAAGTTTATAATTTGTTGGCTCCTATTTAGGCTCTTTAGTTTTTATTTATTTGCCTATGAAATATTCATTATTATTACCAAACAATAATATCGTTTTTGTGATTTTAAAATAATAACCATCACCTCATTGTCGCCATCATCTTCGTATTTACACGCGTTAAATCATTATTTTTTATTACTAAATCAACCTTTTATCATCATTTATTTGATATTTTTAAAAACCATCCATGACAACAACTCATCAGTATTGAGGACTGTCAAAAGGAGAAGACACAAGAAAAACAACAAATATTCTATTTTAAAACATTTATTTCGCAACAAAAGCAACGACAAAGTAATAAATTCAATTTAATTAAACTTAGTATAGTTAAATAATTTTATTTTTTTTTAATTATCAGGTTTTTTAAGGATATATTCAGATTTGATTATTTGTTTATCAATTTTTTAGTTTAGATTATTAAATTAATTTCTTGTTTTTCCTGTTTGCTTTGCATTTTAATTATTAAAATAGCATTTGATTTGATTTTTATTCATTGAAATAACTCTGTAAGTTTTTATTTAGATGAAAACTTAAAAAATACATTACTACTTTAGTCATCAATCATGCATACTAATTATTTATTTTAATTTAATAACTTTTTCATTGCAATTTTGTCCTATCAAACAGCTATTTAAGTAGATTTATAATTAATAGAGTTAATCTATGTGGTGTAAATAGATTTAGAAAATAAAAAATGGACACCAGATGTCTTGGGGTGAGATAAAATTTAAAAGTTACTCCATCAGAAAGAACTACCTTGTAAAAAATAAAGTCTAACTAAGTTATACTATTATAATAACTGTTATATGAAAAAAATTTCTATTAGCTTAGCACTTAACTTTATTAATTTATTAAAATTTGATTAAATTTCGTTTTATATAATAATTTAATATAATAAATTTGATTTTCATTATCTTTAATTTTTTCTGTTAGAAATAATTTATGACAACATTTAATTTTAATACTAGTAACCTACATGCATATGTATTCATTATAGATTATATATATATATATATATGTATATAGATTTATACATATATACTTTTTAATATATTATATATATTATATATAATATATATTATGTTATATATATTATATATTATATTATTTATATTATATATTATTAAAAAACCACGAACTGTATGCAACACACACACACACACATTATATATATATATATGTGTGTGTATATATATATATGTCTATATACATATATCTATAATTTAATATTATATGTTAATTAATTACAATAGTTTTTTTTAACTTTTTGCTTTTTTAAATATTGGTTCATAGGTCTTCATTCTATTTCGTGCTATAACATGTAAAAGAAAAAATATTGTATGGCTTGTTAAATTTTTATATAAAAATAGATGATTATACATTGATCTGAGATTGCAACCGATTCATCATGCTACTCATTTACAGGCACAAAGGTTTGGTCTTGTTAGCCACTCATTTGCAATTGATGTTAGCTACAATACAAGAAGGATATTCATAACTTCGCATAGCAATATTATTTAATTCAATTAAGAAACGTATAATAATCAGTAGCTTCAACAACTTCAGACATGGATAACAGATTGAAGAGAATGATAATGGAGGCTAATGAAATTAGCCAGTATTTGAAGAAAGATTATGTATGTTTTAAATTAATTAATCAATTAATTAATTAATCTAATATTAAAATTTAAACTGAAATATTTATTTTTAAACTAATGGATATAGTTGCAAAATTATGCTTCAGGTTTTTGAGTCTGACTCTGAATTGAATTCATCCAGTGTTAAAATAGTCAGTAAGTCACTGCAAATTGAATCTCTCCTACCTGTTAATTTATTCAAAGATAAATTAGTTGTGCTAAGGAAACTCATGTATGAAGTAGGTTATTTTTATTGTTGTTGTTGTTGTTGTTGTGGGTTATCATCATTTTACTCTCCAATCATTTAAAACTTATTGTTCAGCACTTTATTGTTGTTGTGGATTATCATCGTTTTACTTTCCGGTCATTTAAAACTTATTGTCCAGCACCGACAGTATAATAGATTGTTGTGTTGTATATCATTAATGAGAACCATCTAATCTTAACATTTCTAATCTTAACATTTATAAATCATTAAGTTGAGTAGCTTGTTGAATTACATGAAGCAAAAACATTTTTGTTTTCTAAATTATCATCAGATTGTTTTTTTTATTGTATTGCAAATGAATAGAAAATGGTTGGTTTGGTTTCTAAGGACTCTTCGTACAGTTAGTAAATAAAGTCTAATTGCGAGTGTTTCACCAAATATTTAAACTAAATAGAGGCCACAGCAAACACTTTCTTGTGTTTAACTGCAGGCAAATATTTGGTAGTAGCAGTTCAAATACTTTGAAACAAGTGCTCATTATAACTATTTTTTGACGCGAATTCAGCTCTAATGGTGTTGTGATCATTGATTTTTTTCTATTTCTATCTCTTCAAATTTGAACATGGTGTTTTTTAAGCTAATCATTTTTTTTATAAATGGTACACATCATCAGTATTGTTTCTTCTTTATTTCTTCTATGTTGATCTATTTTCTCTCTATATCTAAATTTCATTTTTCTTGATTATTTTTTCTTTTCTTTTTCTCTTTTATTATTTCATTTATATACTTTCCTTCACTGTTTTAAGTATTACTATTCTCTCTTGATCTAGAGCATCATTTATTTATTTTTGCTCCAATAAGCACCAAAGGAGAGATTTTAATTTTCCATTGATATCCATCCTTCAGCATCTTCAACCTACCATCATCATCAAACACACTCACTCTGGTTGGTAGTTTCATCTCTTTACAACCACAGTACAAGAAACATGAAGCACAGTACATCTATCTACAATAACAATGCTGTAGGTGTAATCCTCTGATAGTGCACTTTAATAACATTAATGATAAAAGTACAGACTTTTGTTTCATTCATTCACCTGCACTGATCTGAACGTGTTATATAGTTCTTTTCTAATAAGAAGAAATGCTTGCAAAATTATTTGTTTATATTTCTCAATTCTATATTTTTTTCAAACTAAGTTATTTTCATATTTTTTGAGAAATTATTTTCAAAATAATCTTACTTTAATAAATACAGCATGAAATATAATTTTATATCATATACTCATTACTACATATAAGTTCCTAACCAGCAAACTCTAGCAACATTAAAAAAAAGAACAAACTTGAACGAATTGGTCTGTAAAATGTTCAAGTGACATATGTAATATGTGTAAATGTTTACATGTAACAATGTTTAAACTTATTTTATTCAATTAAGTTTGGCATAAGACAACCTGTAATCACTGAGTATTTAATTGTTCAAATTGTTCAAGTTGAACTTCCACGTACATAAATATTTATTGCAATGACAGTACAATACAAAGGTTGTCAGCTTCAATTTTTCTACAAAGAGAGAGAGGAGAGAGAGAGAGAGAGACAAAGAGAGAGATAGACGAAGAGAGAGGAGAAAGGGAGAGAGAAATAGATAAAAAAATAAACATAGAGAGAGAGAGAGAGAAAGAGACAGAGGGAGAGAGAGAGAGAGAAAAGAGACAGAGAGAGAGAGAGAGAGAGAGAGAGAGAGAGAGAAAGGAAGAAAGAAATAGACATAGAGAGAAATAGAGAAAGAGGGTAAAATAAAATAGTAGTAGAGGTATGAACATTATTTTTTGTAAACAATTTTTTAAATGTTAACACAGCATTACGATGACGGTTCATGAAAGTTGTTTCACGGTTGTTAATCTTTTTGTTAGTGATATGCATTGCTCATGAATAATTCTCCATATGCTCTTTTTAAATATCATTTGCAAGATGCAAATTTCTAGGTATTAATCATATATCATATTTTGGCGGGGTTAAAATTTCATATAGATTTGTTCCGGTGTAAAAATAATCTCTCCTTACTTCAACATGAAATTAATGCAAATAGTGAGTGTGTGTTTGTTTTTTTTGAAGAACAGAATAGTAGCTGCCTATTCGTTAAATAGCAAACATTGAAGAATTAACATTTACCGTTTTCTCATCAAATTTTTATTGCATCATTGTTTTATAAACTTGAATTCACTTCAGTCTTGTAACCAGGATGTCGGAATCCGATGAAAAATGTCCGACTCTTAAATCAGGTCGCTTGAAAAATTTCTTCTCCGGCAAAAATTTTTTACCGACTAACACTCCACCTGTAACGTAGCCACATCATTATTTCTTACTAAATTATTTCTATTGCTTCAATCCACGTATTTTTTTTATTCTTCAACCTCAATACCCACTAAATGAATTCTGGATTGAATTCGCATTTTTTACATAATAACCATATATGATTATGTGAATATTGTATCAGAAACATTGTTGAAACAACTAAATCACATGTAGATGTTTCAGCTTATTTTATTTATAGAGAACTATTGATAGGAAATGACTTCAATTGTTCTTGCACAGTTCAATGCTGACACTATCTGGTTATGTTATATGGCTCTTAACATTCGAAGTAACAAAACATTTGGATAGACTCTCAAAATGCACCCAAAAGGGTTCTGTAAGATGCTCCTAAAATAAATTTACCAGTTAAATATGAAGAATTATTTCTGCGTTACAACTGCTGTTTTGCTGTTCTACACCACTATTCATTGTTGAATAGGAAGTGAAAACAACTTACTTTACTTGAGTGTAATTAGACGTGAGCTGTGCTGTCACAATCACAACGCTGCAATCTGTTTTTGATTTTATTACCATTTCATGTTTGATTTATTTAAAAAAAGCATAAAAGTATTTGTTGTTAAAGTCTGAAAAATTTACCTAATTTTTGTTACATATCCATTTTTCTTTCCACTTATTCATTTACAAATCTGTGAAGTCAGCCGTTCAATTTGTTTAATTATTTTTCCATTTAATCAGGACCCATCCGACAGCAACTCAAAAAAGGCAGACCAGTTGATCAGGCAGGCCTGTCTTGAAATTTCAAAGCAGTCCTCATCATCGCCAGTGTCGTCGGCGGATCATCCAACGAAAGAGGAACAGCATGCCACTTCCACGCCAGTCAATGATCATTCAAACAATTACAACGTAACAACCAACTTGGGTAAAGTTAATTCCAAGGAAAATAAAATCAACTTCAACTTGAACAAAGCAGAAAATACACCGAATACGAGTTATTCGACAAGCAAATCAAATGCCTTTTCAGATCTTCAAAATATAAGTTCTAAAGAGACTTCATTGTCATCCAACAACATTCAAATGGTGAACAGTTCAACAGAATCAAATCACAACAGTAAAATTGAAAGTTATAAGTAAGTTCCGAACATGTCATGTGTCCTATTAACTACATTTTTTTTATTTATTCTTTACTTTTTTTAAAGTTTAGGATCACATGAACATGAAAGGGCTTCAAACAGCAAACTATCTCTCAACAACAACAACAACGTTAATCAGAGTAATAAATCTCCAACGTTGAAATCAGCAGCCATCAACAACTCAACTCCGGCAGTGAAGAACAACAACAACATCTTCAACACAGCTGCAACAATATCATCAGGCAGTTTTGATGACAACTGTGTTAACAAGTTGCTTGTGGATGAAGAGGAGCTGATGAACAGAGCTCCTCTCATTGGTTGGCTCCTATCATTCTATTGTTTATTCACATCACATCATTATTCTTTCTGTAGAACTTTTATTTGGAGAATACTAAAGCATTATTGATTGTAACTGGTGGCAGTGCTTTATTACAGAAAATTAATTTTTGTTATAGCTTGCTCATGCTTATTGTTAACTGATATAATAATGATACAAATTAGTTGTTAATTTTCATGAACTCATGAAATGTTTGATTGGCAGAGGTGAATTGTTTCCTATAAGAATTTAACCAACTGAATTAATATGCACAAATACTGTATTCACGAACACAACACGCGGCGTGATGGCTTAATGGTTAAAGGCGCCTGGTCTTGCTATTGCAATGACTGGGTTCGAATACAAAAAGATCCCCGCCTATCATATGCAATGTGTATGATGCGTGGTTTGCACTCGTATTCATATACGCTGTGTGTGTTTGTCGTTGAAACCTCTGAAGCTAACGCAATAGAGAGAGTAACCTGTAACCTTTTTTTAACCTTTTAACACGCATCAGCACAACACACATCAGCACAACGCACATCAACACAAAAATATGATCAATAAACACATGATCAATGAACGCACCAGACTACATTCCTCAAAAGTGCCCTCGCACGAAATCGTTGAAGAGTTACAAGTTGATGAACAGGCAGTTCATGTCTTCAGACTCCAACATCAACATCATGCACTGCAACAGCAACAACGACGATGTGAACTACAACAAAACGAGAACGACAACAACAAAAACAACAACTCCATCAAATAGAACAACATCAGCAGAAGAGAAGTTGATGAAGTCGGCGACATCAAATTTCAGAAACGCGTCCAACAACAAACATGACACCAACAATTACGACATCAACAACAACCTTCAACTGACTGATAATCAACAATCTCTTTTACAGAAAACAAACAACGATAGTAGGTTGAGAAACATTCGGAAGCAGGATGGCAGCTTGAATAGAGAGTTTTATAAGGCTTGTGAGATGTTCACATCTAAGCTCCTACAACAAGGTACTTTTGTTTTTTTGATGGTGATCTGATGATGATGATCTGATGATGATGATTAAAAGATTAAAGTATAATGATATATTTCACTGGATCTTTATCAGGTTTTTAAAGATAATTTTTTGTTATTAACACACAACATTTAAAAAAAAATTATTCATGTGAAAAATATTGCGGTATCTTATGGTTTGAAACATATTTACCAAGTTGACTGAAGTTCTGTGAGAAAAATTTCTAGTTGTTATTATTTTGTAATTAATTAATTAATTAATTAATTAATTAATTAATTACAAAATTAATTGAATGGAACAGATGTGAAGTTGGTTGACATGCACGACAGAGCACTAAACTCCTGCAACTTCATCCTTGCTTATGTGTCATGCTTGCAATCACTTCAGAGCCAAGGTTTGTTTCCTATTTTTATATTTTTATTCTGATTTTATTTTATTTTGACATAATTAACTAAAATAAGGTAGGCAGATTTGTTTAGGTAGAAAGATATAATTTTTACAATGAAATGATTTTGATTAAGGTTTGAGTCCGATGAACGAACAGATGAACATGCAGCCATGCATGAACGCAATCTGCCAGTTGAACATCCTCGACTTCCTGGTGCCACACATCTTCAAACATCATCCTACTCATCCTCATCATTCTCAGCAGCAGCAGCTTGATGCTCACTCACACTCAACTATGAGATCTTCCAACAGCTCCTTGAATCACAGCTGTTTCAACGACAGCAACAAACATTCAGACACCCTCAGCGATGATAATGATGGCAACAGTATTGGCAGTGCTGATAATGATGTCGATTCTTTGAATGAACAGAAAATTGTCTTCAGTGATCTGCTTCAAGGGTTTTCAATGCTTTGGAAGGTTAATGGGTTAAAATATGTAATTTGAATGATTGGATGGAGAAATGCATTGATGCCTAGTTAAATGGTGTTGGATGATTGATTGAATAGGTAGTAGATGATTAGTTGAATGAGTATATTAATGCTTGAAAATGAAAATTTTGTTATTATTTCTTCAACTTAGGTGATGTCATTGGACAAGCAACGAGCTGATGTTGGTGAGCAGCAGAACGACGATGACGATGGTGATGATGAGGAAGAAGATGGAGAAGACGAACGCAAACGATGCAGAACAGATTTCAGCAAGTTCAACTTTGAGAAATTGAAGAACCTTCTGCACTACATGATACAAAATATTGGCAGAAGAATGATAAACAACAACAACATCCTCACCCACAACGTTGACCACAATAAAGATGTTGAAGATATTTCAAGATGGTCAGAGGTAAATTTTCAGGCGTGTATCTTAAAAAAATTTTCAGTCTTTTTACAGTGAACTATGAGAAGTTGGCTAAAGAAATAGAGTTTTTCATGCTTTGACATCAAATGGTATTGTCTGTGGTTAGCTCTTCATAGGATTTAAAATCAGCTTGAATGATTGTTATTGCTATTTGGTGAAAAATGCGATATGCAGGAATTATTGCTTGAAGTTTATTGTATTGATAAAAATAAAAATATTAATTTGTTCATTAAATACAGTTCATAAACGTGCATGTCTAATTTTAAATTACGTTCTTGTCACACAGCTCTCGCAAGATACAATGAATTGGTTGTTGGTAGGATGTGACGATGCATTACTGAAGAAGGTTGAAACAAGTTCCTTCTTCATAGGCAAACAGTTGGATGATTTACTTGAATGTGTTTCTACGTTGATGAACGACGAACGAGTGAACAAGGTTTGTATTTTACCCTAGGTTTGTGATGTTTACAAAGATATATGCATTCATAGTCAATGAAAAATTTTATTGTTTATTTTTTAGAATTAGTCTTTGATATCTTAATTGGAAATCAATTTTTAAATTAATTCAGATATATTTTAGTTTTTGTTTTGGATAAAATTATTTTCATCTATAGTATGATTAAACTTAAAAAAAATATCTCTAGCCCAAAGTCACCCTGACACAGAACATTCACCAGCTATTGAACATCATCTTACAGTTGATAGCTCTTGTGAAACAAATTCAAGTCAGCGTCTGAGCAATCAAATTAGTTTATTAATTAGATGGAAATATACATTTATTTACATAATTGATTATTCATCTTTATTGTAATATGTTTAGGTGACAAAATTGTTTAATAGATTTTAATTAGAAATTTGTTTACATAAAAGATGGAGATGCAGAAGTTGTTACTAAGTAGTAGTTCTCTGGAGACAATGATGCGTCGCTCGACATCATCTTCATCTTCCTTCTCTTCCTCCTCCCACCTGGTCTATAGATACGTCAATCGAGTTGCCACTATTTTCAATCACCTGACATCAACTGTCTCTGACATTCATTCGTTTTGTCCCTCGTTCATCAAGTCAATATCAGGTCGGCAGTTTCCAGTTCTACTTCAAATTTGTGTTCCTTCATTTTTATAAACTTTCTTTTTATTTAGTCGTTGATTTTCTTTTTACATTTGTTTGTCACTTGCCAAACTTTTCTCCATTTCAAATTTGATTGTTTTATTTTTTAAGTTATTAAAACGTTTTAAAATTAAACAATTGCACAGATGTTGATATGACCATATTAACAACCAAAAGAATTCTAAAATGCATCAACCAACTTGACTTATCGTCATCTTCACTTGCAACCAGCTGTTATGGAAACATCGATGCAGATGACGTCGATGATGAAGTTGATGGTGGAGGACTTGAAAATAATTTCTTTGAGATACTCAGTCAGGAACAAGTTGAGGTTAGATGATGAATTTTTGAGGTTTGTTTCGATCGTCATCCTTTAGTGTCAGTCCGACTGGACTTTGAATTCATGTCTTCATTTTATTTAATTTTTATAATGTATTTAATCTCATTCTCTTCATCTATTCCCATGTTTTGTATATCTTAAACACTAGCGTGGACTGCATTTATAATACATAACAGTTTTCGTAAATGAGTTGGTTATATTAATGTTCAGAAAGGTTCACAAAATGGCATGACATGATATAGATATTGCAGAATCTAAAATATGTCGAAATCCATTTTTTATGAAAAAATTAGAAAAAAAAATCTATTTATGCTGGAAAAGTTTTAGTGGTGTGTGTGAGTAGTGAGTATAAGTTTACAGTATAGGAACTGGTCTCCAATGAGCAAAGAGCACAGAGTATTTGTATATAAGAGATGGAAATATTTCAATCAGAGATTGTAAGAGTGAGAGAGCATTGTGGCTGTTTTGTAGTTTTGGTCACAGGCATTTATTCAACTGAGCTATTTGTTTTGTATGATTCATCAAAGTGATTTTGTTGAACATTAGATGTAGCAAACTGGAAGAACTTTTAGTTTGAAGAACTTGTAAATACTAAAAAAGAACTTTTTGATCTTTAATCCACTAATAAAAAATATTTAAAATTTTCTTGGTTTTTTCGCGTGTTAAATTGTAATTGACATCATGAACATGACAGGTATTGCAAGAGATGCACAAGTTGTTGGAGTCTTGTATCGACCAGTTGAAGAACAGTTTGCAAAGTTGCGCGTCGTTTGGCGTTTCAGATGGTATCATGCCATCGTCAAAATTTAACAAACAGCAATCCTTCTCACAACAGTCTCAACAACAAAATTACATGTCTCCATATGGAGTTTCAATGAGTCAGCAACCCAATATGTCGAAGCAACAACAACTGCTATCCTGCTCGACGACAACAACATTCAACAAGCTCTCCTTCAAAAGAGCACTACCTGCCACTCCACAAGAAATCATGAAGCAACAATATCAACAGTTGCAACAGCAAAAACAATTTCAAACAAACCAGCAACTTCATTATTCACCACCGACACAACAACAACAGTATAGTTCCACACAACATTTAGTAAGCAATAGAGATACAAACGAACCAACTTCAGTTACAAGCAGAAAAATTCAGAAACATTACAGTTTCAACCAAAGTGATGCAGTTGCTGGTAGCAGGCTGTTGAACTACAACAACAATCTATCAACAAAACCATCAATCAGCAACAACGAATCGCACAAGCCATCAAACATCTCCAACGACAACAAACAATCAACGAGGAATATGACAGGTCGCAAATTTTCTGATTTCAGTGGCTCTTCTAAATTGAACTACATATCGAGTAAAACTGCTTCGAACCAAAACTTATCCACATTCGCTGACGACTTCAACAACAACGTGAACAACGGAGACAGTGAAGACAACACTGCAGCTGATAGTAATGTTCCTATATTCAGAAAGAAAGCCAGCAACAACATTCAGAGATACTACGCCAACAGGCATAGTTACATGCAGTGACGCATCTTGAAGTTTTTTTTTCAGTTACAGGTTATTAACAAATAATGCAGTTGAAGTGAGATTAATCTAACATCAACCTCTATAAGTGAAGTGAATGAATGGTGTTTCTATGTTCACTTATTTTATATACATGATAATTTTCCACATCAGAATAACTACTGTTTGACTGATTGAATGATGACACATTAAAAAGTTTTCGAATGGAGTGAAATATATTATAACAAATTTCTTAATCATTACATAGCTGAACAGACTGTATGTGTTAGTTACTGAAATAATAAATTAAGCAATGTAGATACAGATTTTGTCTTTGCTGATATACGAACAGCAATGACGAGCCATGTCTAGTACATTCAGTTGTAAAGTTTGCTACACAGACAACTTAATTCATCTGATATCTTCTGCCTGTCAAGGAACAAGGAACAACAACATGATGATACCATATGATGATGCATACACGCACATTATTTTTTATGGACTGCATAATTTTCTTTGAATGTATCAGTTACCCAGCTTACTTGGAAGCGTATATGATTTTTGATTCATTTACTTTAATAGCTAACATCAATGTATTTTTTTTACATCCACTCTGTTTTTAATGATCATATCTAAGAATTTACAATACAACACAACGCCACAATCAGAGGTAAGATTATAATACAACATTTGCATATGTTTTTCGATAAGCTATTTTGTTTCATTTGTAAACAAAATTAATGAAAAGAACAAACAAATCAACCAAGAAACAAACAAAAAGTGCTGATAGGAAATTTTTTGATTTTTATTATCCTCCACTAACTTACTTAACGTTTCATCTTTTCAATCATTTCGCATGGGTAGATGAGAGATTTATTTTACTATTCAAAGATTGCTATGCACGGATAAATTTGTTTACGCACCAATGTATGCCGTTGTTACCTAAATGAATGTGTTTCATCAAATTGTACATATCTTTCTAATTTTACATATTTTATACAGATTTGTTTTTGTTGATGCAACACACTTCAAATTAAAATATTACATCGTATTGTTCTTTACATTTTTCTATTTCATTTGCTTTGTTGTCAACATGAATGTTTCTCGAAGACATTTTGATGATTTCATTTAATGTGGGTGGGCAAATGAGTTGTTTTTATTCATCTTGACATTTCGTTGAATTTATTTTATTTTTAAAGTTACATATCCAAACAATCTGTATTTTGAAAATCATTTTTCATTTTCTTACTACTGTTAAAGTCTCATTCACCGTCCATCTGATGTTTTTGTTATTTTTTTGAGCTTTTAAACCAACAATAGACCAAACTGCTGAAATACTCTGATGTGGTTTTACGTTACTGCATTCAAACCTCACTCCCCGACTAATCATGATTCTCGTAAATCTCGACATATCCAACCATTCAGGTGGTCATCATCTCTAGTTAAAATACTGTCGTGATGTCACCTTTATCGTCTGTTTAACGTTTACAAAAGTACATTTATTCTTTGCAATCTTTTACATCCGTTTTTGTATTCTCGTAACGCTCTTCTTCTTTCAATATAATGACGATTTACATTTACTTAAGCAATATTTGTAATTGCAAACGCCGTATCCGTTGTCTCATCATGGCCGCCAATCATCATCAAAAATATATATTTTTAAAAGTAACGTTTTACTAATCAGCTGTTGTAACTGCATGAAATATACAGTTGGAAGGTGGCATGTCTGACTCCATTTCCTTTGACGCAACATTCAACTGTTACACAAGTTACTCAAATCACTATCAATTCAGTTACTTATTGATTTATTTTAAACATATTGCTATCATCATTATTATTGTCTTGTTAACACCATAAAACATTACCATCGTCTTTTTGTGATATTCAATTGTGAATTAAGTTAATAAATTTATTTCAAAATTTGTGTTTCGTTCTTCTTGGTTTTTGTAATATTAGAGCAGATTTATCGAACATTTTGTTAAATTCATGCCCGAACAATATAACTGTTGAAAGCCCACCTTTGGATGATTGCGCATTGAAAACTTGTTAGCTAATCTAATGCGTCGGCCGTAGAGTAGAGGGTAACGAAACGACAATGCTGGTTTCCTAATTGGCCCGATTGGTCATCACGCCACCCCAAGCAAGTTTCTACTGCTTGCTTAAACGCGCTAGTTTTCTGACTTCATTAGGACAGACTTTGATCATTTCTTTTACACTTACTCTCAACTTACTATCATTCTACTTTTCCTACCCCTTGCGCCATACAGATTCATCTGTTCCCATTCTCTACCAACTTATTCTGGTTTACCGCTTCTCATGCATTCTAATTGATACTATTTCTAATTGTTTTAAAATTCAGTTTGCTGACACCAGAATCTTTCATATCTACATTAAATTGTTAGCAAAAACAAACCTAGCGAACCTCATACTTCTAGTTAACTGACTAGGTACTAGGAAGTCAATTCACCGGAAAGCAATAACTTCCGCGACAGGACATGAGAAAATACAACAGAAATTTTTTAAATTTTATTATATAAGAAATTAAAATTAATAAGTAATAAAACAATAATGTCTGTCGGATCAGCTTTCAAAACTTTTCTTCTTCCTCAGCTCCGGGTAGTAATCTTCATAATTGTACTCTTTGAAGGGCACAGCTTTTGCTAAGTTACCTGAAATTATTAACATTGAACACATTATTATACAGCCACATTCATAACAATAGTTAACATTCCGTGTTCAGAAGTATTTCAAAATAAGAACAAAACTATCTAATTCTGATAAAAGAAATTGTATTGAGTTTCGATAGACAAATTGTTACACCACTGGAGAAATCAGACAAAATGTCACTAAATCTATAAAATGGTGATAGCACCAGAAGCATCAAAATTATCTGATCCATTAAAGCAGATTGAAAAGAATATAAAATATCATGAAAAAATCAAACAGAATCGTTTTGTACAAAATGAAAATAAATCATGAAAACGATAAATTTATTCAATGTGAACCTGAGTCCCATGCCTGTTCTATGGAGACTAACAATTTTTTGTGTTGTATCTGACACAAGTCTGGAGAAAAAAACATCACGAATACATTTGGTAGTACAATGTTTTAAATTTCAAGAACTTAAAAGATTTGAATGAGATGATAAAAAAAATTAAATAATTCACAATTCAGATGAAAAGTGCCAAATTAAAATATTGACAGGATAGGGTGTATGTGGTTGTTCGTTTACAAGAAAATTTAGTAATTATCATAACACAGAGCCATATGAAATGAAGATTCTCTAACAAAAAACAATAAACATTATTGTATACTTGTAACGTGATTTGATAAGACTTTGCCAGTGTATGGTGATACGAACTGCTTCAATAAATCCACATTCTGTGTGACAAGGTGATTGATCAAGGTTTGTGATTATTAATCTACGCTTTCTAAACTGATGAGTAACTGATATAGAAAAATCATAAAAAAAGAAAATGGTCTTATTTACAAATTTAATATTTAACAACAGCAGGTGAAATCAGTTATTAAATAAATTATTATAAAGGTTAAGGTTAAAGGTTACTCTCTCTCTTTTGCATTTGCTTCAGAGCATTTGCTTCAGAGGTTTCAACGACAAACACACACAGCCGTATATGAATACGCTTGCAAACCACGCATCACACACATTGCATATGATAGGCGGGGATTCGAACCCAGTCATTGCAATAGCAAGACCAGCCGCCTTTAACCATTGAGCCATCACGCCACCCATTGTATTCAAGACAATATGAATACAATCAAAATAAGATGAACCAAATTAAAAAAAAACATCAATTTATGTCATTCATATTGATAAATTTAACATTCTAATAAAAATTATAAAATAAACACTTCATTAAAGCAATCAAGAAATAAGCAACTAGAAAAACTGTAACAAGTACAGCAACAATGACCACAGCCACAACAACAACCACAACAATCGCAACAACAATTACAACAAAAACAAACTTCTGGATGCAAGACCAAGTACTGATCTCTGCAGATTGGACATGGATTGCCAGTAGCCAACTTTCCACCAATCTATCCATCAATTATAAATTTCATGAATTTCATAATTAAATATAAATTTTAAAAAATCATTGCATGGATTTATAAAATTTATGTAAGTATGTGAACATTCTTAAAAAATGAAAATGATGTTAAGTTTCTACATTAACAACTAGCCAATAAAACCAGCTAATAAATGGTCAATTGAACCAGACTGTAAACTTACATAACATGACCTCCTGATTTTACGAGGTGGCAGATGTCCCCTGTGGTTTCTCCTGTAAGGTTGCCAGACCAGAGATCCAAGGTATGTTTTGTTGTATGCTGAAATAATGCCAGGAAATGATGCTAATAATTATTCCATAACAACATTATTTTTTTTTCTAATCAAGTAGAAACACAAGAATTACTAATAAAAAGCAACTAACAATCGCTTTTTAAATATCTTTTGCTGGTTTCAACATCAACCAAAGGTCTTGATGGTTTATCTGTTGTCGTTTCTTCATTAGTTACACCTTCAGATTTTGTTGACTGAGATTCAGAACCATAAAATCGACCAGGTGCTGTTCCAGTTTGCGCTGTTGTTGGAATGAAGTAACATTTAACATTTGCACTTGTAAGAAATCTCTTGTCAGCTGAATGTATTGGGACCTAAAATGCAAAACATGAAAAACTAATTTTCAATTCACACATGGTTTAAATATCAATCATTGAATTCTTTTTACATATCAACAACATGAATATTTTTTTTGTGATAACACTGTTCCCATTATCCAAAATTCAAGATATTTTTCGTAAATGTTGCAGATAAGATGAAAAAAACACATAATTATAAGATGGTATTTAATGAATTGAAGCACATGGCCGACACAATTATAATTATGTGGCTTAAAATCCATTGTAACAAAAACATAGGGTCTGTAACTTAGAAAATTATTAACATTTTGAGCAAAACCAAATTGAAAGCAAATGATAATATAGAAATTGAGAGAATGCTTTGCATTGGGTGCTAAATCTTGTTTCTGATAAATGCAAATTATTTCATTTATTAAAAATGATTCTTTTCGTTATCATCTGTTACATTATAAATTATTTGAGGCTTCCCTCCTAGTGAAAATAGAAATAAACTAGCTTGTTCTATTTTATTTTAATAGTAGTTAGTAGTAGTTACCTAATTTAATAATTGTATTAATATAATATTTTTAAATCATTTATTTTTATAAATAATTTAATTTTAACAACTAATTTATCAGTGGCACTTTATCTGTTGAATTGACAATTCAAATTCAGCAATATTAAGTACAAAATTTCAATTAATATCCATTATTATATTATGTATTATTGTCTATTCAAACTCTTAATTCTGATACTTTTAAAATTTTGGCTAACTTCATTTACATCTTGAAAATGATAGAAACCAGAAACCAGCACAAGAATCTCCCTAAAATTTTTTTTATTTCTAAACTCATACTGTAGTTAATTTTTCAATCATAATACAAATTCTAAACCAATTGACTCACCTTCACAATGCTTTTTGACGCGTTCAAGATAGAATACAAAGACTTCAAGTAGGACGCCATGATGTTAAAGTTAAACTGAGATCAAATCATGGATATATTAATTACAACGTTAACGTTAAATGTTTTTGTACATTAGGTTAGTTTATATAATTAGAATACAACATAATATAAATATAAATGTATATGCTCTATTCATGAATGCATAATATATATCTATGAGTCTACTCTATTCTATATGGGTTAGTTAAATTTTAAAGCAGCTACATCTTTAACTGAAAAGAACATAAAGATAACTTCTATAAATTCATATATAAAGAGATAAAAGTAGAAAGATGCTTGTGTAATGGAAATTAATTGGGAGCTGGTCTGGTGATATCAAGATATAATTATTTTATATAAAGATATAATATAAAGCCTTATGATTTTCGATTTCAGTGATTTCGTATCTCCATGGTTGTGAGTTGATGTTTTAAATAAATTTTTTAATTTTTTTTAATTTTGCGCTAAATTGAAAATATAAATAACAAAAATATTTTCCTGTCATATTAATTATTTAATTATATCTCCTGAATGATTATTGTTTTTCACCTTTTTTCTATGTTTTCTTTGAAATTGTATCTTTGTTGTGATTAAAATTTTACGCAATTCATAAGTAAACAAAAGAAATAATTCGTTTATTCAAATAATAATTAATTTTTTTATTGAATTTTGTTTCATTTTTCGTCACATTGACTCAATTTTGATTTTTCAAGCAGGCACATAATGCAAAAAGGAACTTTTTAATTAATTGTCGTCCCTAATGAATACGACTTTTTAAACTTTAAATTAAAGTTTAAAAATTAAATTTAAATTTTAAAGTTTGGTGGTTAAAAGTTAAGTAAAGTTAGAATTTCAATTGAAAACAAACAGTAACAAATTACTTAGTCATCCGATGTTCCAAATATGGTTGAATTGAAAGATGATATGAGTTTGAAGTCGCATCCAACAGAAGCAGAGTCAGAAAAGTTCAAGTCAGATGACCAAGTGACAATAAAAAATGAATCAGCAAAAAGGAGAGATGGTGACGACAACGCTGCTGGCAGCATTGTTCCTATTGTTAGACATTCGTCAAGTTTTGAGAAAATATCCACTTTGGACTTTGACGTATTGTCGTTTGTAAACGAACATTGTTCTAGTCGCTCTTGTCGCTGCAGGAAGTCTCAAAAACGTTCAACAAAAGTTTTTGACGATTTATTAGATAGCAGCAACGTTTTTGGCCCCAGCAGTCCGAAATTGCTCAAATTGAAATCGAACACTGAACTTGCCTCTCCCAATAAATTTTCTGATTTTACAGTAACTGACAAAACATTAAAGTGTAAAAAACTGTTTGGAGTTTCAAACAAAGTTATTAAGAGTCATTCTACAGAAAACACCAAATCATCATTTGACTTGAAGTGGCCATCATTAGAAAGCAAGTTCAGGTTGCAAGACTTCAGGAATCTGGTTAATGTGGCATTTAAGAAAGAAGATATTAACAGCATCAACAATGCCACCAACATATTTAATGGTGTAAATTTTAAAACAATACAATGCAATGCAAGCAAACATTTCTTAAATAATGAAGGTAAAAAGAATTATGTTGGCTGCTCTAATTTACAAGCAGACAAAATTATTGCAGCTTCTCAATTTCCCACTGCTGAAAATAGTTTAAACAAAACATCTTCATCATTCGGTACTCACTCTGACAAAAGCTTATCTTCTAAATTACTAGACAGCTTACAGCAGCAGCAACAACAGCCACCTGAACAAGCACAACAACAACCGCTTCAACTATTATCTTCATGTTCTCAGGAAGCATTTTCAGTGAACGTGGCAAACACATTGCCAGGCAAGGATGAGGATGATTGGACCATGGAGGAGTTATCTTGCTACTTTGATGACCTCTGCCACATACCAAAAAATATGTCCGAAATGGCAAAAATGATGTACGCCTAATATGCTATTTCTTGTACATGCATATATATATGTTTGTATATACATATTTATATGCATATATATGTTTATACATTCATACATTATATATATATATATATATATATATATATATATATACATTATGTATTTATGTATATTATATTCGTACTAATACATTTGGATGATTTGAAAGATGTACAATATTTTTTAGGGATAGACACCTGCATTGTGATGAATGAATGTAAATAAAGTTAGTCGTCTGATAGAGATTAACAGTGAAACATCAGCAACAATGCTAACATGCACCTCAAACATGTGAACATAGTAGCTTAATGCACGTTATTATTATAACTAGAATGATATTTATATTTCTTAACAACTGCGTGAATTTTTCATTTAACTGAATATCATATAAACAAATTATATAAAATCTTGACTTCAATTATGTCTTTGATTTATAAAACCTGATGAATAATGAAACGTAAAAAAGTCTTTGCACAATTTGTATAAAGTTAAAAATTGTGTTTTTGTTTTCAAGTTATTTCAAGTAACGGGATGGCCTAGTGGTTAAGGTCGCATGGTCCTGTTACGCAGTGACCGGGTTCGAATATGACAAGGTTCTCCACCTATCTGCTTCGTGTGTGATGAGCCGTTTAGCATGTATTCGTACACTGTGTGTGTTTTTATGTGTTGATTCCTGTGAACTTTGGAAGAGTGTGTACATGACTTTGGCCTCTTTAAATGAATTGTCCAGCCATTTGATCATTGACCGTCAGCCTGTGCAACCGTCAACTCCTTAGGCACTATTAAGTTCAATGACTTCCACATTTCTTATTCTGGCTCTTGCTCGGTTCAACATCTACTCCATTCCATAATGTCATCCGTTCCATTCACTTCTTGGCAAAGCTAGTTTTCTTGCATTTCTGAGCAGGTTTTACCCATTTTCGTCCATCATTATGCAATGCAAGCTTCAAAAATAAAAAACCGTTTTGAAAATAAAAATTGTGATCTCATGTCGGCGGCATAATTTTCGGTAAGCAAACTTTCATCAAAATTTCCTTAGCGAAATTGATTATAGGATTTGTTAAAGTTTGTCAGCTTAATTTTTTAAAGTTAAAAATAAATTGAGAAGGAAATACTTCAAAATTTATTTGTAAATGATAAAATGACGCTACTATTTTTATTCTTTTAATTAAACATTGATTTGAATTTGAAAGAGGTTGTAAATAGTGAATGAAGCTGACATGTGTCTTGCATCTTGAAAAAAATTTAAAAAGTTGGATGAAAATTTGATCCATGTATTTACATTTTAGAGTACATAAATGTGCCAAATTTTGAGCGACGTTGAGGTACAAAAATTTGGTCGTAAAATTCCTGTAAAATAAATATAATAACAGAAAAGGCAAGTAAATTTGTGTAAGTATGACGGGAAAAAAATGAAATAAGTTTGGATGTCATTTGTCTTTCAACTTTCCAATTACTTCCATACGGCGAAGTTAACCATTCAGTGGCTCCGTACAATAACATCATCAGTGTTGCTTCATTCTTACTTTGATGTTGGTTCTGATAAGATAGAACCACATTCAGTTGCAGTGTAACACTATACAAACACACAACCTATATGAAAGAGTTGAATGCATAATACTACATATCTATATTTTAAAGAATGTATATATATATATATATATTCATATATAATAATAATATATAATATTCATACAAAAACATAAACATATTATGAAAGTATACTATACAGGAATTGTACATAATGTACGATTTATTTTAACGATATACTATATTATGCATGCAGTTTATAATACATTATAAGAAACGATGTATATGGTGGGGTATTGTTATCTCAGTTTAAACAATACTGATATATATATATATATATATATATATATATATGTATATATATATGTAAATATATATGTATATATATATATATATATATTAATGACATTGGTAAAATACTATTTAATGTTTACATTGCCTTTTCGAAATAGCGATGTAGAGGTTGTTATATTGCAATTATAACACACAACAAGAAGTGAAGCAACAATGCAATAAATAAGTTAGCCTCATTATGATAACAAATGTTTTTGAGTAATATTGTAATGTATGGTGTTCAAAATAAAATTTTTATAAACAAAATGAAACATAATATGAGTTAAAAATAATGTTATCATTGTAAAATACTATTTCGCTTATAAGTTATAAGGCAATTATTTCGTTATTTTCATTGAATTTGTAGATCGGATAACATAGCGTAACTTACTTGGGATACCAGCATTCTAACTCATACAACTTTATCATAATAATGGATGACGAGACGTATGAACATGTTTTGGAAGTGGCTGGCTCGATTAAGCGGCTCAAAATGTTTCCATATTTCGAAGTAGCTCACTACATCCTCATGTGCATACTAGTCAGAGATGATTCTTATTCCTCACAAATCGCCGGTTCGCATGACTTATTCACTGTAATATTACAACTAAGTAGTAACATTCGTTAATTTGTTTAGATTTTTTCAATACAAGCATCGTATGACAAATGTAATTTATTTCGAGTTTTAATATTTTGATCGATGGTATTTTTAAGGCCAGTTGAAGTCGATGGCGGTTAATTTTTCTTGTAGCTTTACAAAATCCATTTCCATGTGGTTATTTCAATATTCAACTGGATTTCAAAACATATCCCAATTCATTCTCTTATGCCATCTAGTACTTATTATGATTTGACTTTAAATATATAAATATTTAACTGTTCTCCAAGCAGTTTCTTATGACCTCGTCATTCGGCCTCTGTTTCTTTCTAAAAGATTCTCCACCAAATTTTTATTTTTCAATCTGCCTTTGTTTCTGAATATGTAGTTTCAAAGTTTTGGTGGATACATATGCATGTATGCAATAATGTGAAGATCAAATTTTTTAAACTTTATATAAACCTGTTGTTAAAATAAAATTTATTTCACACACCACACACACATACACACGACATACACACATAAACATACACACACACACATACGACGAACTCGTACACTGAAACATAAGCAATTGTAAAGAATAAGTATTAAACGCTTTCCTTTCATTGAAGGACCACTCTTAACATCAGCAGGCTAAATCATTTTCAATATTTTTTAAGTTCTGAAAGTTTTTTTTTCAATCCTATCGAGGAACATCCCTTCATCCATGAAGTTTCATAATGGAAGAATGTTCTGTAAATGGCTTCAATTCACCATCAGATTATATGAAATCAATAATAATATTTACAATGTTTCTTATTGTTGTAATGAAAAATCATCAAATTAAGTTTTTTAACAATTTGTTGTAATATAATGTAAGGATAATGTAACTGCTTGTAACATAATGTAACAGTTTGTAACATATTGTAGCAGTTTGTAACATACAAAAATTCTTTTTTATTTTTCAGAAAATATATTTGAAATATTTAAATCAAATTGAAAGGTCCCAAAGGTTTCCACAGGAACCATCCGCTAGCATGTTGGGTGGGAAGCATGATGCTCTGTTTTGCTGGTAGCTTTGTCGGGAACTTCCTACTGGGAGAACCTTTATTATTAACATTTAATAACGAGATCAACATCATCGTTGCTTCCGTAGTGTGGTTAGTCGAGATGTTTCGGACTGCCGATTTTTTCTCATTATAACTTACAAGGATTGTTATAATTAACTTTGATTCTTTCCAATCTCCAAACACAGTGGCGGATCCGGAGCTACATTTTGTTGGATCCCTTTTATTCCAGTTTTGCTAGAAGGGGATGCTTTTCAAAATTCTTAGTTGATGACCTTTTTTAGCTGATTTTAGTTTATTTTATTATTATCCTACACACAGAATCTTCATAATTTTTTTCTTCCATGATCTGATGGTAGATAATCTTCTTCTTCTTCTAGATCCGCCACTGTCCAATATACTGCCGGTTATCAAATTATTTGCTACGTTAGTTTAAGCAAGCTGATTGACAACTTGGCTCCCATAAAGTGTTTTTCCGATGAGTAATCACATTAAGGCTAGGTTCGAACCCTTTCTTATGCAATAAACCAAATTTAATACGTCATTTGAAATGCTATGTGCTTGCTTACGTAAATTTTGTATGCAAATTGAATTGAATTGATTAGTCTATCAGTCTTAGCGTGGTAGGATGTTTTCTTGAAACTTAGTAACATAAGGAAAATAAAGTAAAATACAAATTCGGTATCATTAACTTTGTAGTAATGATAATTGCATCAATTTGTAACTGAATTTAAAATAAATTTATTGTTGGGAATTATGTTTTTAGAATTTCAATGTTCACTGTTATTATTTCTCCAAGGTGAAACAAATTTTTTTGGATCATAAATGATTTTTAACATTATTAAAATAATCAAATATGAGTTACGAAGACTTAACATTGAAACAAATTCCCACGACATATCGACCGTCAGGTACCTAATAAACTACAGCCCCTTCGATTTCGCCTACCAAATAGCAAAATTTGTGCCCGTGAGAATGTTGCTGATGATGATGCAGGAGATGATGAGGCTGAATAAAATTTACGACGGCACCAACTTCGCTATGAAGAACTTCTCTGGAGCTTTCATTTTTGTCTGCCTCTTCGGCTCCCTCAAGGGTGAGTTACTGATGGAGCTCGTGGTGGTCAGGAATGGTTACAATGTTCAAAATAGAGATTACAATTTTATCATATAATTTAGAACCCTGTGGCATATTTTGATTTATGGCTATCAAAGTTTTGTCTAAGTTTCATTTTGTTAAGGTGATATGTTACAAAATTCACATATTATATTTTATGTTACTATTTTGGCAAGTTGAAATTTCTTAAACTCAAAATGGTATAGAAAATTACGTAATTGGATGGGTTTTTTGGAAGTGGTTGTTGGATGTGGATGGTTGGTGGTTACGCGAAAACTAACAGATTCGCCAGATTTCTATTAAAAAATGATAAGGGCAAACGTCAGAGTTATATTTTAATTGATCAAATTTCAAAGTTATTGAGCTCTGCCTCTCTGAAGCGATCAAATTTCAATACGATAAGACGATAACTAAGAATCAATTCAAAGTTGTTGACTGATAAATTCTATTTGTATTTTGTTTTTGAATGTGGTTTGATAAGCACCAAAAAATATCATCATCATCATCACCACCACCATCATCATCATCATCATTACCACCACCATCATCATCATCACCACCATTCACCATCATCATCATAAGAAGCAGCATTACCATCTTCATCATTATTATCGCCACCCTTTTTTTTATCATCAATACCATCATCACTTCCTCAACCGTCATCATCATCATCGTCGTCGTCATCACCATTCACTTAGGATCAGCCACGTTACACATTCGCATAATCCAACGCCTGGTGTGTGGAATATGGTCGCCTTCATCCATCGAATTGCTCAAACCATCAGCGTCTGTTTATTTATTTATTATTTTATTTTAATTTTGTTTAAGGAAACTTTTTTTGTCCTCCTGATAACTTACGCTATTTCTGTTCTATTACCAGGTAGATAGTTATATGGTGCCGTTTAGGTACCTCGTTGCAAAATAAGAACAGAATCATCTCTTATCTTCGCTCGCTGAATCCGTTTTTATGTTTTCTGAAGTCTTTTTTTGGAACGGTTCATTTTCTTCTATGATTGCTTCATAAGAAGATGAAAAAATTGTGAATCCTTCTACGATTTTTTGAACATGACTTTAAACTTTGTGTGTGTTTACAAATTTGTAGCTAGTACTTAGTAGGAGAGTCATTTCTACTGTCACAAAATCTTTCATGTTGTTTCCGAATAATATCAAATACGTAGGTATGATAACAATTCTTCGCACAAATTCTATCTTAATAACATTTTATCTATGATATAGCATTCTTATAATGTACTTTTGCTATTTGTCTATGATTATCATTTTCAGTTATTTTTAACTGATTTAGTTTTTTTGAACTAAAGTATTTTTTATTTGATTTCAATAATTTAAGTACAATTTTCACTTTTGCGTGTCCTGTGTCTAGATTTTTGCTTGCGCCAGTTCAATATTTTCAGTCATAATGAATATTAATTTGTTGTTAAAAAATTAACTCACATTAATTTCAACAGAGTTGCTAAATCGAGTTTAGTAGCGGGAATATGTTTCACGTTGTACCATAGAAAGTTGATCGATCTCCCTGAACCACTCGTCTACATCGGCCTCATCTTTTTTCTCTGGTTCGTCAGGTTTTTCTGGGCGATTTTTGGAGTGGATGTGTTCAAGTTGTTTGAAAATATCATCTGCTTCATATTCTTTGGTGGCCTGTTGGACTGGGTGGAGAGGAAGAGGTACGAGAGGATGATGAGCAAGGCGGAGAAAGATGCAGCACTCAACGGGATCGTTAACCAACAGAAAAAGATTAAATGACCAGATGTGCGTGTGTGTGTCTGTGTGTTTGATATTTTTATTATTTTTCTTGATCTCTTATTTTCATTTACTCAGTTAATGTGTTAAAGATACGTTTAATAAATCGGTGACATTAAAATTTATCAATTGCTTATTTAGGCAAGCAAGCTCATCTACTAAAATTAAAAATTTTCTCCCCCTCAATTTCAATTCTGAAATGTTTTGTTGAAGAAAGTCAATTAATTTTATAAAATCGAATTCTTTTATAATTTTGTTAAAATTTCAAAAAGTTCAAGTTAACTATAAAAAATTTTAATAATTTCAAGTTGGCTACATTTCTCAGCAGTCACAATTTCGATAACTGAAAGTAAAAATATCAAACGAAATTTTTATGAATTGGTTTCAAAAGCCATGACAAATTGTTAGCAACTCTTGTTTAGTCTTACATTTGAGCCAAATTTATTATTAAAGCAATATAAAATACACAACCTCTCATGAAACTTCCGAAACATTTATTGTTATTTATATGATTAAAAATAATTGAATTGTCCTGTATATGATGGATATGGAAATTTTTTTTGCCAACTCTTCAACTTTCGGTAATCTTTCATTTTGTTGCCCAGGAAATGCGGTCATTAATCACTAATCTATAAATTCTTTCAAAGAACCATTTTAGAAAGAGTAGCACGCCCAGACATGCAAATTATTATTCAAAATAAAATGAAAACTTGAAAAAAAAACAAAAAAATTTAGAAAAAGTTCCGTCATGATGTTCATGTATTTACTGTTTATTCTCCAAATAGTTCACTTCCTTCTCAGACCCTCATATTGTTTATATCAGGTTATTTTTTTGTAGAACAGGAATCTGTAGAGAAGAGACGAAGCGGGTTACTGAGTTCAGTTCAACTTTATATACTCATTATTTCCTCCTGTTATCGTGTTATTTATTACTTACTGTCCTTTCTATGTTGATTTGTTGCAGATGTCAATTCAGAATAAGTGAAGTTACATGATATAATTTGTTTTGATTTGATAATAGTATTATTAAAATGAAAGTAGTTGATAAAAAAAATTATTCTTGATAAAAAATTATTTTTGTTATTCCTTTTTTGTCATCTTTGGATTTAGATTAATTATTTGCAATTTTTAATGAAGAAGCCAGCCTGATGTCCATCACACGATCCCACCTATCTGTTTTTTATGGAATAAATTTGCAAACGAACATTATCTTGCTTTAAAAAAAATAATTTCAAAATTTGATTACTCAAGAACAAGAGAAGAAAATTTCGAAAGCCAGAAATATGAGAGAAATGAGATGCCAGACAGAAAGGAAGGATTAGCGATATCAGGTAGACTGAAATATTTCCTGGCTGTTGTAGGAAATGCATCGCTCGGATGGATTGTTTGCGGTCGTCATCACGTATGGCGTAAGTGCACAAGAACTAAATGAAAAAAATGAAAGATTCTGAATCTACCAAAGATGACTGGCCGGTGTTGTTGAGTTTATAGTTAGAGTGATTGAATGAAAAAAGAATAAATGAACGTTTTAATGAATATACCAACGAATGAATGTTTGAATTAATGAATAAATGTTTGAATGTCTAAAAAAGTAAATGAATGAATGGTTGGATGAATGAATGAATGAATGAATGAATGAATGAATGAATGAATGAATGAATGAATGAATGAATGAATGAATGTATTAATGAATGAATCAACGAATGAATCAATGAATGAATGTATTAATGAATGAATCAACGAATGAATCAATGAATGAATGAGTAATTTAATCTCAAAGAAATTCTTATTAAAAATCGAAGTTACACCAATAAAACCAATTTCACTTCCCCTTGTATACCTTATCACACAATGCAAAAATGTCCTACAAGTGTCAGTAGTGTGAACGAACTTTTCATAAAAGTATCAAAGCTAAAATGACGAAGCACTAAATATTAGGACAGAAAACACTGAAAATAATTCTGTTCATCGTGATTCTACAATTCTGCTTGGGGCAAACCAATAATATTTGACTGAATAAATATAAAAATTGGCGAAAAAGCATCATTCAAATCATTAATTTTACAAGTTTAGTAGCCAGATAATCTTCCATCAACGTCACCATCATCACCACCACCACCATCATCCTCATCATCTCCACCACCACCATCATCATCATCTCCACCACCACCACCACCATCATCATCATCAGTCATCGTTCTTCCCATCATCGTCATCAGCACCGCCTTGCACTAACTAACAACAGAACTTTCACGTTAATTATTTATTCCAGAGATGCATTGTAGGAAATGGCAGAAAAAATGATGTTATCGACGATATCATCATCATCATCATCATCATCGTCGTCATCTTCTTCTTAATCAGTATCATCATCGTTGTTCTCGTTATTATCTTTATCATCATCCTTAATCATCGTTTTCATCATTAGCTTCTACGCCATCATCATCATCGTCATGACCATCATCGTCATCGTCATGATTATCATCATCCACTTCCTCGATGACGTCATCATTCCATCATACCAGTAATAAATAACATTAACACGCTTCGCATGTTCGCCTCATAAAAAGTGGTGCCGCCATACAACCGGCGGAGTAACGGTAGATGACCATAAATAAGCTATGATAACGATGCTGTAGCGCTTATTTTTATAGTCGGTTGGATATTTGATAGCAATTAATTAATATCCGAACATGTGGTTGTGTCTGTTTGTCTCTGTGTGTGTATGTGTGTGTTGTGTGTCTGTCCATATGTCTGTCTGTGTTTGAGGTCATTTTTTGCCGCCATGACTCAAGTGCGTCATTATGGGAGATGTTCTTTTGGAACCAACAAGGAGACGACCAAATACAACCTGTGTGTGTGTGTGTGTGTGTGTGTGTGTGTGTGTGTGTGTGTGTGCGACTCAATCAATCAGAAAATTAACAATAATTTCAAGCTATTGAATGAATAAAAAAACAACAAACAAATGAATAAACGAGTGAATGACTGAATGAATGAACTAACAAACGAATAGACGAATGAATGAATAAAAAACTGAACAAACAGCCAATCAGCGGTGGCGGATCAGGGATTTTATCGTAGGGGGGGGGGTAATAGTTTTTGAAGGTCGATAATTTTTTTGCATATTTGCTTATACCCCATAAACTCCGTTAATCTCCAGTTAATCTCTGCCTGATTCCTCATTGTTCAAGTTAGATAATGCCAAGGTATGACGTAAAAATACATTGTAGAATTATAATTTTTTTGTCATAGTCTGCCAGCAAACCACAAATTAATTAGCTACTTAATTTGTAAATGAAATTTTATTTCCAAGTGCCTTACTTAATAAATTAACAATTGTGAAATAACAAATATTAGAATTAGAACGCTGACAAAACGTTTAACCTGACCAAAACTTGGAACCTCCAATCAGATCTTTCTTTCCAGACGCACCCGATGAACCCCTTGTACATTGCATAACGAACATGAAGCAACACACATCAGGAATAAAAATGCCTACCTTAAAATTCTTTTGTTCGTCTTCATGTGCATACAAAATAGTCGATGCCCATACGAAAACAGGTAGAAATAGCATAATTTTGTGTTATATTTAAAGGTGTTTGTGCATATGCATATTGATAAACAGTTTATTTTTGTTAATGAAAATGAAGTAAATAACAAAATAGATGAACAAATTATGCCAAATGTAACAAGTGCAAGGCAACGTATCTTACATGATACTGCCTCACGGAGGAATCCACTATATCATCCCATTCATTCAGCGAGCACAAACGATCCATTTTTTTTATTTTCTGCAAATTTTTAATAATTTATCAGCAAAAATTTTTTTGAAATTTCAAAACATTTTCAACAAAATTAGCAAATTTTTTAAATCATTATTATTTAGAGCCTTTTGAAAACGCATAATAATTTCATTATTTTTTAATTATTTGTTTTATAGAACTTAAAACAACTTTCATGATACTTGCACAAAATTATTTTTCTGCAATGTTCATTCAAACGAATTGAAATGAAGGAACAAGTTAGCAACGTAGTGTTTGCCATGTTAATTAATCTGTTACAGGCAATATCGCTATTGCATGCAATTGCAACGAGACTAAGTAACTATGCTACATGAAGTTTATGTGGCGAGAACCACTTAAACGCTAGAAGAATGTTATAGAAATTCCTGTTTTTTTTTCCGATTTCTTGTTTCGTTTTGTTTATTCGTTTTGTTTTTGTCTTGTTGCTCATGTTTTGCGCTTTTGTATCTTTTTTGTTTCTTGTGTATTTTATTTGTATATTGGGTTTTGCTCAGTCGCTCATTGTAAATTATTCTGGCACATTTTCGTTTGTATGTTTGTTTGTCTGTAAAAATGTTTGTTTGTTATGTTTGTATCTATTGTTAGTCATGTTTGTATGTTATGTTTGTTTCTATTGTTCATCATGTTTGTTTTGTTTGTTTCTATTACTCATCATGTTTGTTTGCAAGGTTTGTTTCTAAGGTTCCGCATGTTTGTTTGTTATGTTTGTTTCTATTGTTCACCATACTTGTTTGTTTTATTTATAAGATCTTTGTTTTGTTGGGTCTTTGTATATTACGTTAGTTCACTTTGTTCATTTATTTTTTGTTTTGTAAGTACAAAAAAGATGTTGCTTATGATTTATTTTTGTTTGTTTTTGCACTGTCTGTTGTTCAATTGTCTAATAGTTTATTTCAGTCTTGTTTACATGTTTGTATTTCATCATATGTTCGCTTTTTTTTTGTTTGTTTAACTGTTTGCTAATTTTTGTTTATTTGAACATTCATTATTGATTATACTGTTTTTAAATTGTATACTTGTGTTTTGTTTCTTTCATCATTACGTTTCTTTTGTTCTCCATTCATTCATTCATTCATTCATTCATTCATTCATTCATTCATTCATTCATTCATTCATTCATTCATTCATTCATTCATTCATTCATTCATTCATTCATTCATTCATTCATTCATTCATTCATTCATTCATTCATTCATTCATTCATTCATTCATTCATTCATTCATTCATTCATTCATTCATTCATTCATTCATTCATTCATTCATTCATTCATTCATTCATTCATTCATTCATTCATTCATTCATTCATTCATTCATTCATTCATTATTCATTCATTCATTCATTCATTCATTCATTCATTCATTCATTCATTCATTCATTCATTCATTCATTCATTCATTCATTCATTCATTCATTCATTCATTCATTCATT